TATATATATATATATATATATATATATATATATATATATATATATATATATATATATATATATATATATATATATATATATATATATATATATATATATATATATATATATATGATGACACTATATTCCGGGATATCATCCGTTCGCTCGTTGAACTCCGACTGGAATCCTGCAGACGTTTCGCCAAAATCTCACTTGGCATCTTCAATGCTCGCGCTCCGAAAACACTTCGAACACTGTGTTCGAAAACACACACACACACACACACACACACACACACATATATATATATATATATATATATATATATATATATATATATATATATATATATATATATATATATATATATATATATATATATATATATATATATATATATATATATATATATATATATATATATATATATATATATATATATAGGGTTTTTCACTTAAAACTCCGCACGCCAATAACTGCAAAACGAAAAGAAATATTTAATTTATGTAAAAAGTACTCAAAGTGTGGGGTCAAGTAGATATTTCCTAAAGTTTAAAAAAATTGACGCCTGCAAAGAGCTGGGCGTCGCGACGCGTCGAAAAATTATTCGATTGCAAAGACTTTGGAAATACGCGCATACAAAAGTACATATTATTTAAAAACTTTTTTGTCATTTACTCAAACTTATTTACTTTACCCGTTTCTAAGTTATACCGATTTAAAGTAAACATTTCTTGATTAATAAAAAATGTGGTTAACGCTTATTTTTACAAGTATGCCATGAATGTTAGTTACTATGGCAACCATTATTATCGTCGTTATTTTAAGTGCAATTACAAACAATAGATTTCAACTATTTTAGTATGATTTGATTTATTATTTTGTATCGATTTAGTTCTGATAACATGATAAATAAATGAAAAAACAGTAAAATACCTACAAGTTAATAACCAAAATTATTATTGCAATTAACTACATAATAAGACATTTCAAAAATTTTGTTCAAAATTATGTCCATCTGCTCGAACACAACTATTAAAAACTTTTAACAGATGAGCTTGGGTCACTTGTAGGAGAGTCCTTCTTGTGATAGCGGCACACGCTGCACTAATTTTGTTAATGAGATCAGCCATATCTTCGATAGGTTCTTCATAGATAACGTTTTTTAGGTAGCCCCAAAGAAAATAATCTGGTGGTGTAATGTCCGGGGACCTCGCCGGCCACCTTACCGGTCCATTAGTACCAAACCATCTATTGGGATATTTTCGGTTCAAATACCTCGTTACTATTTGGGCATTATGTGCAGGTGCTCCATCCTGCTGTAGCCACATATTCATTCTAGTGTCAAGAGGCACTTCTAATAGTTCCGGAAGTGTAGTTTGAAGAAATCTTAAATAGCGATCTGCATTTAAAGTTCCTTCGTAAAAGTAAGGTCCAATAAGGAATCCATTTAATATGCCGCACCAAAAATTGATACTAAAAATTCGTTGGTTACCTATTTCTGTAATCCAACGAGGACGGTTTTCGGACCAAAAACGACAGTTGTGTCTATTAACGATTCCATTATTTTGAAATCGACTTTCGTCGCTCCATAAAATTTTCGAGAGAAAATTTGCATCTTGGCTATACAAATCGGACAATGTCGCTAAGTAATACATTCTTCTAGCATAATCGCCTGGTTCTAGTTTATGAACTAGTTTACTTTTGTACGGGTGAAAAGAGTTTCTATGTAGAATTCTCCACAAAGAACTTATGGTAACATAATTTCTTCTGAATTACAGCAGCAGTATTTTCATCATTTGTAGCCGTCCTGTTGCTATCTCTTTTAGGTTTTATGATGCTGCCATATTCTCTTAAGTTTTTACATAAACTTGAAAAGGTTTTTGCATCGGGGACTCTTCTATGCGGATAACGCCGTGCGTAAACTCTTTTTACTTCTCTACAATTGCATCTGCATTCTCCAAACACCAGTAACATGTCTACTTTTTCCTCATTGCTAAATTGCGCCATTTTCACATAATAATTCTTAGTTTTTTTTAAACCGAACAAATTTGGATATTTCTTGTGACAAAATGTGACAATTTTTTGATACAGCAATAACAACTTACGTTTGTAATTGCACTTAAGACAACTGCGATAACAATGGTTGCCATAGTAACTAACATTCATGGCATACTTGTAAAAATAAGCGTTAATCACATTTTTTATTAATCAAGAAATGTTTACTTTAAATCGGTATAACTTAGAAACGGGTAAAGTAAATAAGTTTGAGTAAATAACAAAAAAGTTTTTAAATAATATGTACTTTTGTATGCGCGTATTTCCAAAGTCTCTGCAATCGAATAATTTTTCGACGCGTCGCGACGCCCAGCTCTTTGCAGGCGTCGAATTTTTTAAACTTTAGGAAATATCTACTTGACCCCACACTTTGACTACTTTTTACATAAATTAAATATTTCTTTTCGTTTTGGAGTTATTGGCGTGCGGAGTTTTAAGTGAAAAACCCTGTATATATATATAGGTTAAGATTAATATATAGGTTAAGACGGTGCGTCATTACTAAAAAAAGACCAACAGACAATCTTGTGCAGTTATGTATGTATGGGGCACTTTAAATCTGTATTTACGCCAGAGCAAGAACTGGAGTTGGTTGGCTTCATTTAAGATATGGAAAATGGCCTGTTTGGTCTTACACCGACAGAACTTTAAAAACTTGGCTACCAATTAGCAGACAGAAACGAAATTTCCCATAAGTTCAATGATGCGACCAAAATGGTGGGAGAAGATTGGGTGTCCGCTTTTCTTACAAGGCATTTCCATTTGAGAAGTGTCAGATAACGGCTATTTAACGTTGATGAGAGTGATGAGAGCAAAAGCCTCAAAAACAATAAAACAAAATAGAAAGTTGGTTCTTTATCCTCTAGAGAAAAGGGAAAGATACTAACTGTGGAAATATATTGGATGCAAGGTGATTTGTTTGTCAAGCGGATCGAAAAATTCATAGTGTGGTCATGGGCTTCAAAAGAAAATATCGAGTTGCTGTTATTAGATGGCCGCACACCAAAAATTTGAAATTTATTGAAATGGCATGGTGTTGTTCTGTTGTGCTCCCCACCACACTGTAACCACAAACTCCAGTCACTAAATGTGAGCTTTATGAAACCAGTGTCTATTACACCGACGAAATAAAGAATTTATTTAGAGTGAATCCAGGTGCTATCAAGTGGTTGAGCTTTTCGGAAGGGCTTTTATTATTACCCAACCCAAATATTTTTTAGAATGATCATTTTGTGGCAGCAGAGACAACAAATATAAAACATCCACAAAATGTTAATGTTAGGACTCTCCACAGCCGGGATCGTCAAATAGATGGCCTCAAAATATAAACCTTAGCTTGAAAGATGGTAGCACCTTCACAAAAGATAGAGCACTCACGACAGCCTGGACCATCCAACAAATTTTAAGCACTGATCTCTTAAATCAATCTATAGTAAACTAAAAATTACTTGAAATGAAAAACTTAGTTTATTTTTAAAACATTAACTTGTCAAGTTAAAAATATCTATTTCCACCGATAGTTTTAATACCTCAAATATCTCCTTTAAACTGGTCATTGCTTCATTCATTTTAAGGATTCAAATTTGTTAAATAAAATTTACTGAAAATGATAATAAATTTATTTTCTTCCTTTGACCCAGCCACAAACTTATTTAACTTAAATTGATTTAGAATTCTTATAGGTTTAGTTTTATTGCCATCCTTTTTTTGATTCATCCCCTCACGATATAATATATCTTGAATTATTCTTACCAACAATATTCATAAATAATTTAAAATTTTACTTCCTCAAAATATAAAAAGATCAACATTAATTTTAGTAAGAATTTTTATTTTCAATATATTAAATAATTTTCTAGGTTTAATTCCTTATATTTTTACTAGAACTAGACACATGCCCGTTACTTTAGGCTTAAGTTTAAGACTATGATTAACTTTTATAATCTTTGGCATTGCTTATCATACTATTAATATATTAGCTCATTTAGTTCCTATAGGGGCTCCCGCTCCTTTACTACCATTCCTAGTAATTGTAGAATTAATTAGAAACTTAATTCGTCCAATAACCTTAGCTGTTCGATTAACTGCTAATATAATTGCCGGTCATCTACTGTTAATCCTATTAGGAAATATAGGTCAATATATAAATTTATTATCAATCAATATTTTAAGTTTTATTCAAATTTTATTATTAATCTTAGAATCTGCAGTTAGTTTAATTCAAGCATATGTATTTTCTGTTCTTATTACACTTTATGCTAGAGAAATTCACTAATGACAACTCAGAATCACCCTTTCCATTTAGTTAACCCTAGGCCCTGACCTCTTTTAATTTCTTTTAATTTATTAAACTTATTAATAGGGCTTATTTCTTGATTTCATTTATATCAAATTGATCTATTGATTTTTAGACTAATTTCTATAATATTAATTTTATTTCAATGATGACGAGATATTACGCGAGAAAGAACCTTCCAAGGTTTACATTCCTTAAAAGTTTCATCAGGCCTCCGATGAGGGATAATCTTATTTTGTTCTTCTTGTTAAATTTGTTCTTACTTCCTTCCGAGAAAATTTAACCCATTTCCAAGACCACAAAAACACATTTAATAGATACTCCTTACAAAAACGAGCTCGTGGAATCCACCAAAGTTAAAGAGGCAATAAAAATAAGAAAACATAAAAGGAAAATACACAAAATAAATCTAGAAGATCTAAATCCAGTGCGAAAAAATAAAAGTTGAAGATGACTCCGATGTAGATATTGCGGTTACTCATATTTACAGTCAAGTGAAGGCTGGGTCTCCTGCTGCGTATGTGGAAAATTGGCTCATTGCTCCTGTGAGGGCGAAATTGCGACAGAATGAATTGAAACTTCTTTCAAAGAATATATTTATATTCATTTTACCCCAAATCTGGAACATGATTTTTTGTTAAACTAATATTTTCTTCGACAGTTAAGTGGTTAGGCTAGATTACGTTAAAAATGCATTTTATAATGAAAGTTGATAAATATAAAACTAAACAGAAACTGAAATAGTTTTCATATTACCACGAACAAAATCAGAATGATATCATTTTCTTAGGGGGCTCACTATAGCCCGGCTTAGAATACAGTATTTTAAAATTATGCAATATTGTGAGTATAATTTTCATCTCAAAATAATTTGCAAATAGGGAATGGAAGGGAGATCGGGTCACAGTCCATATAAGCAAAAGTTTTGGGAAAACTTAAAAACTAACGAATATATTTATTTGGTAGCATCAGTTCCCTAAAAATTCGTTAATGAAGAAACGAATCAAATCCAGTCTCTCGACTTTTTTCTGTAGGCATGTTAAATTTGCATTCACAAAAGAAACGCCATAACTGACTGATTCGCGAGCAAGAACGTTAAACTAACACCAAAATGATTAGTTTAAATTGGATCTTATAAAATTTCTTTTAATAATAGGCATCTAGAAATAAAATTTGAAATTTTTTGCACTATGTTACAAACGTTCGCTATGCTTTGTCCACTTTGCTTTGTTAAACGAGATTTATTGAGTATCTTCATCAAGTCATGGGAATATTAAAGACGAATATAAATAAATTTTCGAAAACATAAAAAAAAAGAATAGTCAGGTCCAAAATGAATTTTATATTTAGATTTTAGATCAACAACAGATGGGAATACTGCTAGAAGGTTAATTTTTCAAAGAAACTTTCACTATTGCAATACTATTTACGAAACCTCTAGATTCCCCCTGCTTCGGTTGTTGTTGTTCTGGGACGTCAGCAAGTTAGATTCAACAAAAACCGACGTTGGAGGAGTCCAGAAGTTTTGTAAATATAACTGCTAAAATGTTCTCTAAAAATCCAGAATTAAGCGCTAAAATAAAATTCATCAACAATTGGCAACTAAGTTTTCCATAATTGGCCAGCGTATATAAAACAGATGTTGATAAGTTTCTTCAATTATTAAATGAACCTCTAAATCTATCAGGTTGGTTTTTTATGCCTTCTAGTATCCACATAGTTATTGAGTTTTTTTATTTTTCCTCTAGGTCAATTGTCACAGGCTCTTGAAGCGAATCACAAGGAAATCAAGAAGCTTCATTTGAACGATATCCGCATAACATCTGGGACTAACACTAACCCTGACCTATTAAATTTATTATTACTTACCTCGGACCCTGAACTTTTAACGCACCGAAAAATTATATCTATTGGTATTGGTAAGCAAAATCAGTAGTTAAGATGACTGTGTTATCAGAAAGCTAAATTAAATAAGTTGATGAAAATATAGGACAATTCAAGCAATAAAAGTTTCGAAAAATTAATACCTATTTAACAATCTTGGTATCTCTTATTGTTTCCAATGTCCCCATGACAGACACCCTTAAAATTTTCGTTATCTATGTAATCTATGTATCTATGTAAACCATTTTTGTAGAATATTGATTATTTCGATCTTTGATTTGCGTTTGGTAGGTTTTTCGTTTTATTCCCAAATATCTTATTTTATCCAGAAAGAAAACAAGCATGGTGCAATTTAATTCGATAACGCATTCGCAAGAGGAAATTGGTTTATTTACATCAGTAAAGTACTCAATAAATACCTATATACACGGAAATAAAATCGAGAATCAGCTGCACTTAAAACTACACACTACCGTTTTTTCCAAAAGTTTCGGTATTGTTACGGTCCGCCCTATCCGCCATATCACAGCACCATCACCTACACCAAAACAATCCGCGTCATCTACACTCACAATACATTGTTCTCCTTTAAACATGTGTCTTCGACTATTTGACTGACTGTACTTATACCGACAGCTATGTGGTTGTGATCGACGCTCTTGAACTTCTGGACTTTGTTTAATTTCTTCAGCTTCTCCTGCTGGAATATTAACCTTAGATAGTAGCAGGGAAAGACGACGCATCTGCCGTCCGATTCTTCGGCGTCTATGTAGACGCCGCGTACCAACAATGAGTTGGAGCAACCGAGAAGTATTAGAAGAACCAGGGATATCACCAAACCCATCCAGCAACTCAGTTCTACGTCGTCTGAAATATTTTTCGGGTTAAAGCGTTCTTGGACGGGAGCGTGTTCTTACCAGGTAGAAAATACAGATCCAAGAATTTCCACAGCCCTCTCCAGACGTTGATTGTTCCGATTAGGGAGACAATTATGAAGGCATCGGCGACAAGAAGCCGAGGAGCTCCTGACAGTCTGCTGCAGAGGTTTCGCATAAAGGGTTGGATGAGGTATACCAATCCGACGATAGAGTAGCCCAATATCTGGAATGCAAATTCAACGTTGTTTGATAATCCATATTGAACAGTTCGTATTAGTACAGTCCGACACACAAGAGTTTGTCATTACTATAATAATCTTGTTAACGTTAACATTGGCCAAATCATGACACTTACACACTTACTTAGGTTGTTCAAAATTGATACAGGGTTTCTCAAAAATCGACAAGTTGACCCAATCGAGAAGTACGCCATTGCATTAGTGACTAAACCGGTAAAAAACGATGACCATACCTCTACAGGAAAAGTCAAAATCACTAAACAAACCCAGTCATAAAGTGGATAGAAAAAAATGTTTTTTTTTATGGGTAAATTTTAAAAAATGATAACAACAAATTCATCAAATTAAAATTTAATTGGTGACTCAACGGGGACACTAACTCCAACCCTCCGCGCCGGTCCGAAAGGCGTTGAGGCAAAATATAAAATGATAAATATAAAAAAATAGGTACATATAAAAATTAGACAATAATAGAATTATTCGTTTTTTGAACGAAGTGTATTTGAATCAGTGTATCAGAATTTCAGGCAGTAAAGTCAGCATTAAGATTTATTATATGAAAATCTCCCAAAACATTACCAGATTGATCTTTCAAGTAATAAACGAATGGGGAGATAACCTTATTCATAATACATGGAACAAATTTGTGTGCCAACTTTTCTGAAAAAGGATTCAAAGCATTAGATAAGACAAAGTTCCTCTTCCATACTTCCATACCTACGTGATACCTAAAATCTCTATTCCTAAGATTATTCCTCTGAGAATTTTGTTCATAAGACTTTCGTAGTCCACCAAGGTCTTCTTTAAAGATAACAGGCAATTCCTGAGAATCTTCTATTCTATGAATTTAGTCTGAAATGAAGGGCATATTGTTGGAATTATCACTTATTTATCAATTTTTCCAGAAAATTCACCAGAAACGATAACAATTCTTGCAAATATTATCCCTTAGCAATTTTGATAATATTCTGGTCCGATAACTTACGATAACTTTATTAACCCTCTCGGTATGATTGACCTCATGGTGGTATCGAGCCTTATAACAGAAATTTTGTACAGATTACTGTTTCATAAATGATTAATCTGGAACTGAGAACCATTATCACAAGCAAATATTTGAGGCACATAATTTTCCAAAAACTTAATTATGCCAATGGAGATAACTTTCCCCATTGGATGAACCAGAACAAATTTGGCGAACCAGTCGACGACTACAAGGGGATATTGGTTTCCACTTTTAGACGATCCAATAAGACCGGCCGAAATTAACTGAAACGGAAAGTAATATTCCGATAATACCCCATCAACCCTACTTGAGGTAAATTGGTGTTCTGCTTGCAGCGCAAACTTTTTAACTTACCTAACAACAAGTGTTCTCATATTGGGCCAGTAATAAAGCTCTGAGATTCTAGAAACTGCCTTTGATACCCCAAAATGAGGACCAAATGAGGTTTCCGTATCATGAAATATGTTTAAAACTTCCAAACGGTTATCGGTTGGAACGACAATCTTCCAGTTAGTTCTATTACTGATTGTACATAGGAAAAACATGCTTATATAAAATTCCATTTTCGACACGAAACGATGGATAACTCTGAGGGTTGTGTTTAACTTTCTTAATCATATCGCAATACCAAGCATCCGGTTTTAACAGGGATAAATCGAGAACTGACCTTTCAGCACATGACCTGGATCATCAGCAACTCCCATGGACAATATTGAAATCAAACATGGATAACTTTACTAGAAATCTTGACAATCTACCAGGATGATTTTTCATATTATTGACCATACATAATGGCGAAAACGTTCTAGGGCTACGATAATGGCATGCAAGGGGCTATATTTTCTATGGCATTTAATTAGACTCTTACTAGTATAAGCTATTGGATGCTCTAAACCATCTTTCTCTTGAAAAATAACTACACCTAATCCAGTAACAGAGGCATCAGACAAATAAAATAGTTTTCAGAAATCGGAGCTAGCCAAAACAGGAGAGCTCGTAATTTTTCGGAAAGCCTCGTCGGCTTCGGAATTCCACATGATAGACTGTCCTTTCCGTTACTTTTCAAAATTGACAGAAAGATTGGCAGCTTTTAAACATTTATAAACTTCCCTAAGAATTCTAATATGAGTAGCGAAGTCTGGAGTGACTAAAATCAAATCATCGATATAATAGAAAACATACGGTTCAAGGGCTGGTCCAACTACCATGTCCATCAATCTATACATTGTCTGAGCAGAGTTATTTAAGCCGAGAAATAAGACACAAAATTGATAACTTGATGTACCATGCACAGTGAAGCTAGTTTTCGGACGAGAAACAGGATCCAAAGGGACTGGAAAAGATGCTATTTTAGAGTCTAAGTCTACTAACTATAGAGTCAATGAGAGGCAGAGAGAGGATACGAATCTTAGAAGTTACAGTGCTTAATTTACAACCATCGAAACATACTCTACATTCCCCATCTGATTGTGAAACCAACCAAAACGGACTACTATAAGGTGACTGCGGAGGTTCAATTATATCTAGCCATCTATTTCTTTATTAAGATGTTTCTGCATCGCAGGAGGCAAAGGATCAACGTCACCTGTGTCGATAGTATGACTAATAAGGGTAGTACGCCCAATTCTGCATTTAGGACCTATCTCTCTGAACAGTTCAGACACTTTATCTGTCTCAGCTTTTTCTTTTGGGGTTAGACTAGCCGAAGACTGAATAGTATTCACAACACTAATATATAGTAATGGAGACTTATAAGAACGTTCAGTGAAATCAACGCCAAAATTAAAAAATTGGAGAAAATCCATTTCCAAAATCAAGGAATGCGTGACAGAAGGAATAACCAAAATTTTTAGGTTTCTAGAAACATTATTAAGAGAAGCGGCACTTGAACATAGCACAAAAAATCTTGAGGTTTTCTGTGAGCTGTAGTTAATAGCGATATTCAATTTTCGTACAAAATAAAAACCAGCAGAACCTAAAATAAAATAAAAATTACTGCCAGTGTCTACCAACCAGAGCTAAGATATTTTCCGAATCAATAGAGACGTTATTCAAAGTAATCAAACTGCTTTTTAACAAACAAAGAATTAATTGAAGATACTTTTTATTTCATGAATTCATTAACTTTAAGTAAGTTGAGGAGTTTTTTGAACACCGGGGACGTTTTGTTTTAACAACCCCTCTATGACCCCAAACACAACAAAATGAACGCCTGCGGTCCCTGTAGCTACTATAAGAATGACCAAAAGAATCACAATTCCAACATTTAACACAAGATGAGGCACAAATTTTTTTCAAAAAAATGGAAAAGTTAGAACTGGAAGAAATTCAATTTAAATCAGGCTCCAATATATTTGATTTGTGACTTGGTGCTGGTTTATAACGTTCAGACGAGGTTCAGGATTCTTCCAACTGTTTGCGTAGCTCAGTCAATTCGTTAGCACTATCTATTTTTATTAAAAATAGCTGAGACACATAGAAAGGCAAAGGATTCCTACGAATTTTTGTTTTTCATCTAGTTTGTTATTTCACTTTCACTTTCACTAGCACCCTGAGTTATACTATGAATTTCCTGCATAAGATCTTTCAAAAGTCATTCTTTAATTTCTTAACAAGTTTATCACAGCATCCGATTATACCACGGTTATTGTTGAACCAAACAAATGCTTGGGATTTAATTATAATAGTAATACATTTGTTGTTGTCTCAAGAATACATTTCAAGTTACAATAACTTGCATGGTAAATGGCTAACAAAAGGCTTTCTTTTAAATAAAAGTTTCACATCTGGAAAAGCCTAGTTAGTGTCCGCATAGAGGTGATGACTGCAATGCTCCAATGACTCTAAAATTAAAAGTATAAATAGTATATAACAAGGGAGACAAAATGCTACCCTGTGGTACCCCAGTCGAATAAAGAACGGTTCAGAATATTTATTACTATAGAATACTCTCTGAACACGATTAGACAGGAAAGAGCTTAATAGTGTGCACGATTTTATTGTTTATTATTGTGTGGCGCTATAGGTTTTGAAAAAGGAAATTGTGAGCTTGACGGGCCAGACAAGACAGGTGTGGATTTAACAGAAGCATCTGCAGTAACAAGGAGTCGAACCTTCTCATCGAAATAACTCTCATGTTGTAAAGGAAGTCGTCACAAAACCTTTTCTGTTCTTCCTGATTACTATCATTACTGTCATTTTGATAATCTCACCAGAAACATGAATCAAATGAGAAAATGGTTTTGTGTGGAGGATCACCAAAAATGCCAGGAAATACAGATATCTTGTCCTTTAGTTCATTTAAAGTATTAGTTACTTCCCGATAGCCACTATTAAATTCATAGCAGACTTCATAAAAGTTTACTCTTGCTCTCCATGGTACCAGTAGGTTCTACATCTCCAATTTTATTTTCATAAGCTAACTCAGTTTTTAAATGGTTAACCTCCATCTTATTCTTTTTCGAACTCGTTATGTAAATTGAATGTGCATTTACAAAAAGAAGAAAAAACAATAACCTTGGACCTGACAAATATAATCTATCAGTACTGTCCCAAATTTACTCTTCAGATAAATGAAAAATATAATAAAAAGAATTAAAGCACCAGTCAAGAAAATCGAGGCACCACGTTGGTGGTGCCAATTTATGTGTAGGCATAAAATCCTTGCTCGCCCTGCGGAGAAACAGTTTTACCTTAACTGTGCCTTTGAGTCGCTCAGTTGAATGCCGGAAGGTGTGCTTCGAATTTTGAATATCGAATATCGGAAATTTTGTAATTGACTAACCGTGTGGCGAAATTTATTTCGTTACAACCTAAAATCTCAATATCGTATGATGTTATCAATATTATATTTTCGGGTGCCCCTTACTAACTTACTTTCAACAACTGCACTAAATGATGAACTGTCCCTGATCCATTTAAATGTCGGATGTTTAAAACACAAAGTAAATCTCTAATATACTTACTCACCATGAAATA